GAACTTAACTACAACATGTCTAATTAAAATTAAATCTTGAGTGCAGTAAACTAATAAAGTACGTAGTACTAATTTTTTAACAAAAAATTTAGTATTTAGTAAGGACGTAAGGTGAATGATAGTTGTAATGCTAGGCTTATAAATTCATTAATAACTTTGTCTGACACATCACGCATAAACAAAAACAGGCATTTATGATCTTTTAAATTCAAAAACGACACAAATACATTAATTAAACACTAAAAATTTAAATAAACAGACAACTATTTAATAACCAAACAATTGATAATCAACTTTAATAAAAAAAAATATGATCAAACTGTAATCAACTTTAAAATTAAACTAATAAAGTACGTAGTATTAATTTTTTAACAAATAAATTAGTATTTAGTAAGGTTAATGATAGTTCATAGTTGTATTATTAGAACTTCAAAGTTTAAACACTAGGCTAATAAATTCATTAATACCTTTGTCTGACACATTACACATAAACACAAACAGACATTTATGATCTTTTTAAATTCAAAACAGACACAAATATATTAATCAAACACTAAAAAGTTAAATAAACAGACAAGACAACTATTTAATACTAGTACTACGTAACTTTTAATAATTCAAAACAGAACTTTTAAATAAATAAAAAGTTAATACCTGATGAACTGGCAAAGCAGAGCAGAGTAGCAGAGCAGAGTCCTGAGCAGCTCTTCTTCAAGTTGCTGACTTGCTGTTTCTTGTTCGTTGCTATTGTAGAAGACTAGAAGAGTGGACCGGCAGTTGGAATTTGGAAGACGGGGTAGGGCTGTGTCTAATTTATAAACGATCCCAGTAATTTGTATTTTAGGATGATAAAAACAAATCCAGGCCCCCAATATTAAAAAAAAAGCCCAAAGGCGAGTCAAATAAGAGGCGTACGCCCCTTGAACGCCCACCGCCTCAAGTCAAATTCGACGCCTCGTCACAAAAAGGCGTAAGCCTTGTCCCGGTAAGTTAAGGCTTAAGGCTTAAGCACGGTAACTGGACGCCTTTACGCTTTTGCGCCTCTGGTGCGTAAAGGCGAAACACTTTTTAAAACCATGGTGTCTGGCCTGTCTTCAAAAAAGAAACCTTCTTTTTCTTGCCAAGAACACAAGGTTCACAGAACTCAGAATTCACCTTTTTCAAATCTGGAAGTTTCTCCCTTGCAACGAGCATCTTCATTCCCTTTTCACTCATGTGGCCAAGCCGTTGATGCCACAAACTGGATGGATTCAGCCCGCAGGTCACTGCATTCATCTCATCATCAGGGGCTTCATTTATATATAAAGTACCCCTCTTTTTGCCTCTAGCAATTACAAGATTCCCCTTGACAACCTTCCATTGTCCTTCACCAAATGTAACATCAAATCCCTGATCATCCAACTGCCCAATAGAAATCAGCATCTTCTTAAGGCTTGGAATGACCCGAACGTCTTTCAATGTCCAAGTGGTGCCCAAAGAAGTCTTTAAGTCTATGTCACCCATCCCTGTGATGTCAAGAGAGTCGTTATTAGCCAAACGAACTTTACCAAAATTACCTGTCCGTAGATTCTTTATCATCTTTGTGCCGAAAGTAGCATGAAAAGATGCACCGGAATCCATAATCCACGACTCTGTTGAGTTTTCAACACAGCAAATAAGAGCATCATCTGAATCGTCAGTGGCTGCATTCACTTCCTTCCTTTCTGATGATTTAGGGCATTGATTTCTGAAATGCCCAGTTTCTTTGCAGTTCCAGCATTGAATATCTTTTCTCGGCTTTGATTGACTCCTCTTTCTAGACTTTGATCTGCCTCTGCTATTTCCCTTCTCTTTCTTTCTACCTCTCCCTTCAGTGCTTAACAAAGCACTAGAAGATTCTCCAGAACTCCTCCTTATATCCTCTCCAAGGATAATGTCACGAATGCCCTCAAATGTGAGTTTAGAAGTTCCAGTTGAACCGCTAATGGCAGTGACTGTTCCTGACCAACTTTCTGGTAATGAGGATAACAAGAATAAAGCTTGGACTTCATCTTCAAACTTAATATCAACAGATAGCAAGCGAGCGGGATATGATAGTATTGAACTCGTTAATATGTGAGGTAACAGAAGCACCTTCTTTCATTCTGGTGTTTACTAGCTGTCTTATCAAAAATACCTTATTTGACGCCGATGGTTTCTCATACATGTTTGACAAAGCCTTCATCAAACCACATGCAGTAGTCTCCTTCAAGATGTTAAACGCCACACTCTTGGCTAGGGTAAATCTGATAACAGCCAAAGCTTTCCTGTCTAGAGCAGTCCATTCATCATCACTCATCTTTTCTGGTTTCTTTCCTGTCAAGGCTTGATCCAGATCCTTCTGACACAGCAAATCCTCAATTTGCATCTTCCACCATCCAAAATCTTGTCCATCAAACTTCTCGACTTTGGTTTTTCCGTCGTCTGCCATTGCCCCAAACCTTTACAATCTGCCAGCTGTATTTTTCTGCGGCAGCACACTGTTGGCGGCACAAAGAGGCTATGGACGCAGGGCGGCAGCAGTGGTGGTGGTCAGATATGTGGTGGTGGCTAACCTCGCTCTGATACCAGTTGTTAAGGTTAGGGCGCACACACACACAAACCTGAAAACGAGAAAAGAACGAGAAGAAACGGCACACATAAATTAGCGTGGTTCAGCCAGTAAGTGTTACTGACCTAATCCACGGGGGCAACTAGGGTTTTCTTCTTTATTGAGATGATGAATGATACAGATGATAGGTTTACAAGTACAGGAGTCAATATATAGGCAAACAATTAGGGTAAAGCACTTAAATAAGGTTCTGGGCCTGACTGCCATCAAAGAAATAGGCCCAACTAGGGCTGCCTGCACATTTAACTAGAGCAGGCTGCTGCTCTTTGTTTAAATGACTCCCAGGTCTGAGTGGGCCGAAGCCTACAGCCCAACAAAGTGGTCCATGGTAAGACGGTACACACTAGCTCACCATAAAAAGACTCAAAATAATATCAATGAGTGCAGTTCAAATTTGAAAAAATAAAGAATCATTGAATCGGGCAACTGTTTCTCCTTGAATAGGCCTTGCTGCTTCGAATTCCACAGCTAAGTGCCACTTAGCGAATGAAATTAGAAGAAAAACTATAAAAAACGTTTTCTATAAAGAGAGTCCCCCCTGGAATCCACCACCATGTCTCCAACCGGGAAAAGTAGTAATTCTCCAGCTCTCCATCTGGTATGTCACCGCTTGAAGAGTGGAGTTGGTTGGGGACTTGGGGCCTTACTCTTTGGACGGAAAAGATGGTGCGAACTTTGATTTGGGAAGAATGGTTCATTGATGATCACCTATTCACAATGAAAAGAGAGTAAACGTAAAGTAATTAATTGACTAAATAACGAATTGCTCCTTCCATGTAAACAATGGAAACCAGAGATGATCTGGGCTCCAGGTCCAAGGGTTTTTGGAGGAGGAACTGAGGAAGACATAAGTGGATGTTACGAGAGGAAGAAGACGTGTGGGTGACCCTGACTCTCGTGGAGGAGTCTTTTACGGGAGACATAGGAGAGAATCGGAGAAAAGGAAAAAGTGAAAGAAAAGAATATTAGTTAAGCATCAGACGTATGATGTGGTGCCATCAATAATAGAGGAGTAGATGGTAAACCAGATAGCTACAGGCTGCATGAAAAATTACTAGGTTTTTAGAGTTTAGGGTGTCAATTGAGTCTTTTTGTTTTTTGTAGGATGAGCTAATTGACATTTTTGAAATACGTGGAGGGTGTATTTAACACTATTGGAATTTTAAACATATATGGCTTTTCTTCGTAGGGAGTGTTTGCGTTTACTTCTACTTTAAATAAGTGATTTTTGAAGTGATTTAAGAGAAAGTGCTTAATAGTAAAAAGTTGATAGTGTTTTATATTAGAAGTGCTTATGATGAAAATGTCAAAGTTGAAGTGTTTGGTAAAAAAGCGATTTTAGATGTAATGGTTTGTTAAAAGTACAAAAATATCCTTCTACCAAATGTCCAGGTATTCAGTCAACGTAGCTCCAGCGCCTCTGTACGTGTCTTCATCTTTTTGTTCTTGTATGTCATCGTTGTCTAGCTCCAAATCCCCCAATCTTCAATATAATACTCGATTATCCCAAACGGTGAATTGTGGAATAGCTGACACCTTAATGGAAAGCGATATGAATATACTTAAAATCTCAATATAAACTTCGTATAAATACTTAATGGCCAATAGGGCCGCAATTGGAATTGGAGAAAAATCCTTTTGGTGACGTATTTGCATTTTGGTGAAGCTCGATAAGTATATACAAGTATATATATGCACCTTACATTCAAAGAAGAAGATAGTTTAGGGTTCTGCAACGATGAACATGAATATGAAAAGATGGAAAGTGAGGGGCACTCTGGACCTCAGAAAATTATATACTCCTTCATAACTTTCCTCAAAGTTGAGGTTATTTACTAAAAAGCGAAGAAGCAGTTAGAAACACCTCTAAACAAGCATCCAGCTTTCAGTTTTTTTTTTTTAAGTTAAAAGCTGAGAAGCACTTTTTTTAATCTGTTGCGAACACTCCCTTAAGAAAATAACTATAGCATCTCTTATGATGATTTGTTCTTGGGAGACGGCTATAAGGGTGAGTGGATATTGTGTGTGTTTGTGATAAGTGAGAGTCTGAGAGACAGTCTCTTAATCTGCATTCACTTCACTTGCTTATGTGCGTGTGCGGTTTGGTTTAAGGAGAGGCTGCTGCAGACTGAGTATGGCCAGTGCAATGGCTGGTGCACTAGCCTGTTGGGAGGTTTAATGATGCTGTTTTTCTTTTTTCTTTTTTTCATAATAAAGCAAACTATATCATGTATTGCTTCATCCTTTGCTTGCCTTATTTGAATACTTACTGACAACAGAGCTGTGTAAATGGATGAACAAAGCAATTTTTTTTTTACTTTACTTTGGTGAACCATGTTTCCCTGCTGATAATCTTCTATGTTGCACCTAGACATTCACCTTCGAGTCCAACTCAGACAGAGGAAGATGACGAGTTTGGAACTGATGTACACCACTATTGCGCTAAAATGGCATTGGAATATTATAACAAGAAAAATGTATGTAACCTTTAATGATTTGAAATGCCGTTGTATATTTGTATCATCCGTTTTGCTTATTTACTTCAGGTTCTATTCTTCTTTGCTTTACCTTGTAGCTGTTGGCCTTCAATGTATAATCACCTGTCCGTATTTAATTTGCAGAGGAAGAGGTATGAACTTGTGGAGGCTGGGTGTAGTTCTGGCTTTCTAGCTCCTGGCATCTGTTTTCACAGCAACTTCAAGGCTAGGCCATGCAGGAATACCTGCGGAGATGGGAATGAGAAGACCTCCACCGAGCTCTTCTTTGCTGAGATTCAGTTTGACTCTAAACTCCGAAGAAATATTGTTAATGCCTGTCGTATTATAAGAGGTAAAAAGGCGTTTCAAAGGTTTCCCTGGCAAACCTTTCCTGCCCCTAGGATTTCAGGCTGGGGTCTGGGGTAGTGTAGAGAAATAGCTGTGAGTACGCAAGCGTTCTTGTCCATATAAATCTCCAGGATGGGCTTGTTTTAATATTTCTCTTTCAATTCTTTTTGTAATTTTTTCACTGATTTTATCTTCATACTGCGGTTAGATACTGAGGTCCGGGACGGAATGGGTTAACATAAAAAGTAAGAAATGAAAGTACTACATGGCGCTCGTGGAAATGGGATAATGAATCGGCAAACTGAATAGTACACCTTTCTAAGAGGGAAGGGGTTTCTTTAAGCTGCTGAAACACATGGATAATAGTGGACCTGGGAAAACAAAACAATGAGTGTTAATGGCAAGAATTCTGTCCCGACCATATATTTTTCCTACGTAAAGTAAATGGGTGTATGATGTACTACCCATTTTCCCTAACTATGTTTCCACTTAATGTAAATGCGGTAAATGCGTGTCCCACCCCTTTTATGTTTGAGAGTAGGTTTAGGTTATGGGGGGGGGGGGGGAACAAGAGTAAAACTTGTCACCGCATGTTTTGATGTGTGCAGGTAAAACTACTGCTGGTTGTCAGTTTTGCCACAATGATATTGCTCATCCTACCCATGGATTTCGTAAGGGCCTCCACCGTTATGAACCCCGTGCATTGCGTTCTAATTGGTAATTAACTAAGCTCTTAACTTAAATAAGATGCTTGGTACTAGAGATAAATAAAAAAAAAGTAAATATTCATGTAGGTACGCACATTTAATTATGCAGCCTAATTGACTTTTTTTTTTTAAAAACGGGGGTAACAATTATATTTTGTTTACATACGAAACTATCAAGTTAAATAAGATGCCACGTATATTTAAGGCACAAATAATCTTTGCTGGAAAAGTTTACGACAATAATCCTAACTACTTAACTGTTTCACAAAAGTAAATAATGCGTAAACATATTGACTTTTCAATTTAATTTTTTTCTGCGTTCTACATATAATGAATCAAATATCAATATAAATATACATAAATATTTATGTATGTATATCTAAGCATTAACAGTATCATATTTGACCTTAAATTTATTTCTATCATAAGCTAAATATAATATTTAACAGTTTTCACAAAATATAGTACAAATATTTGAACGCATACTCATTAAATTCTCTTTTATCTTTTATTATTTTAATTATACTCGACGTTGTTTTTCATGAGACTATCGATTTCAACATAGTTTTAGTGATACCGCATTAATTTTTTTGATATAAAGTATTAGTATATCATAATTACTTTCACCTTAGGCAAATCTAATAAATTGATATCTCTAATAATTTGAAAGGATGTGGTATTGAGTTATTATAGAAAAATACGTTTGTATTCATATTTACTTTTATTTGAATTACAAAGCTTCATTATTACTCCTTCTGTCCCGCTAAGATTGTCCCAGACACTATTCATTTGGTCAACACAAATCACTCTGATCTTACTTTATATTATCGTAAATCATTTTTTTTTCAAATTTGATTCAGTTTTTTGCGACTTTGCTAAGCTTTTAAGGTAGTTTCTAAATATGTAATTTTTTTTTTCCTAAAAATAATTTGAGAGCGGACAAAGATTTGTTTGCTATATCGTCGGTCAAACATCGCAAACCGAATTGTCCCAATCTTAGTGGGACGGAGGGAGTAATAAATATGCATATTACATTTTTTTAAAAATATGAATATTACATATAAACATATTTCTTCTTTAACAATTTAGTATCCCATTTGTTCAAAGACAAAACATAATTTGATGAGTATGTGCTCAAATATTTTTACCATATTTTACGAAAAATATGAAATATCAAACTAATTTTATAATTGAATGAATTTAACGCAAAAAAAACGAAAAGGGGTCCGACAAGCCAAATTTTGTTTTTTGGCCTTGGATACCGGGACCAATTAAAAATATAGAATGGTGCCAGGCCCAGACTATAGACTATATCACTATAGTTCATTTTTAGTATTTATTTTTTTGTGTCATGTGGTGACACCATAACTACGCCATCGCCATGGACAAATGCCGTGGCGCCGTGGGTGTTGCCATACGCCCATACTCTATCGCCATGGATAAATGCCTTGGCACCTTGGTCAGGACTCAGGATATTTTTATAATAAGACAAATGGGGTGGCACTTGATATTATGTTGGTAATTTACGAAATATTAACTTAAATAAGAATGAATATGTAAGCATGCATGTACGTATCTACATTTTATTATGTAATCTATCTAATTCAGTCTTTAACAAATGGGGATTTACACCTGGTTTGTCAGTTCAAGTTTGGTGGATGGTGGTACTGGATATAGCCTCCCGCCCTGCTCGGATGGTGTAGCTAGCAAGAAAATTTCCTGAATGTACTTTCTTTTTACCCAAATGCATCTGGAGATTACGCCATCTATCCACTTCCATCTCCTGCTAACATTTCGTTGGAACTGCCTTTTGTAGGTGGATGCTGGAGTTTTTTTTTTTTTTTTTTTTTTTTTTTTAATTTGGGAAATTATCAATGAGCTCCTTTCAGGTTTGATATATCATCACTCACACCTCTGCACTATAAAAGTTGTACTCTCACCCCCTCCCTATCCTTTAATGATGGTTAGTAACTTTCAATTTACGTTTTGAGAAAATTATGGACATAGTTTCGTAACTTTTGATTGTGTTCGCTATTAATGTTGTAATTTTCATGCAAACACATATTTTGTGGGATTATTAAATTTTTATGTATTAAAGATCTTTCGACTCGAAATTGAACCTAATAAAACAAAAAAAATGATCAAAAACTGATGCATTGAAATATTATGAATACAATTACACAATTGAAAGTGAACACAATCAAAAGTTATGGAACTAAATCTATAGTTTTCTCTGAGTGTAAATTAAAAGTTACTTAACTATCATTAAAAGATAGAGGGGGGTAGGTGTACTTTTTTTATAGCGCCAGGGGTGTTCGATATAATACACTGAACCTCATGGGAGGTCAATAATTATTTTTCTTTTAATGTTGTTACCTGGGTGTTGAGGGTGTCAATCACATTTGAATGGTTCTTGACCTGAAATGAAATTGGAGAGAATACATGCCAGAAGTTTAGCTCAAAGGAAAACTCTTGGGTTCAATTCCAAGGGCTTGGATTCTATATTGTCTTATTTTGCTACTTTGTTGAGGTTCTAAAGTGTTCAGTGACTTGCATTTTAGATAGGACATGTTTATTTACTCAAACAAATTTTACCTTATCTTGTGGAGCAATATGTTATAGCTGTGGACCACTTGGAGTGTTACATTTTGCCGATTTGCCCGCTCAAAGGATTTATCTTTAAATGCTACTAGTGACTATCAATGTCATTGTTGCAATCATCAGTGTTCTCACGGGTGTCACTGAAGTGGTGAAACATGTTTTATTAGTCAGAATTTTTTTCCAATAATTTTGTACAGTGAATATTAAAAAATTGAAAAATAAAAAATAGTTTTTTTGACATCTTTTCTGATGGGCGAATGCTATCATAGCAGTAGTGGTTTCGAGAATTTGGGAAAGTGTTGTCCATAGGGTTGGACCGGTTCCGGGTTGGGTACTGGGCTGTGGGCTGGGCTTGACTGGGCTTTTAGATACGGAATGTTAGATACATAGAAAGCTCGTTAATCGAGCTTTGATCAGTAACATGAGCTGATTTACTTTTTTTTTCCATAAGATTGTCAAATGCTGATTTAAAAATTGATTTTTCTTTAGAAGGAGATGTTCGTGTCGGGGTGGGGGTGCATTAATGAATTTTATTGTGCATAAAATTCATTAAATAATTGATGAAATAAATTACTAACATTGTTGTATTCTAAAACTCTTGCTCATCGTCTGGGGTGCCGTGACCCTCGTCCCCGGCGGTCGCCTTCTCGTCCTCCTCCGCATGACCGCATCCTCATCCTCATCCGCATCTTCTTCGTTAATATAATGGTCGTCGGGATGTCTTGTTGTTGGAAAAAGCACCCATTATGTTGGGATAATAGTTGTTGCAGTTGCTCGTCGTACATCGCATTTGCATCTCTCCGTTGGTAATTCGGAAACCCATGATGTTTTAGGATTGGGAGGCACCCGTAGCCCAAACAGAATAATATAAATTGTTAATTTTGTAATGAAAAGAATAAAAAGTCTTAAAGGCTAAAAGGATGTGAGAGATGTGCTTTTATGGATTCAACCACAAATGTGTTTACTTACAACCAACTCTATTTAAACATCAAAGCTAGATTTATATTCTTTTTTAAAACGCGTCTAGCTCCGTTCAAGACTTTTTAGTTATGTTTTAAAATTCTCAAATTGTCAACAAAAATTACATATTAGGCCTAATAAATTAATTGAAATTATAAATAAAATAAAAAGCAAAGAAGCCCACACAGATTACATATAAATAAAAAAAGTTGGGCCTAATTTTCTTTCTACTTTATTATGGCTTAGGGCGGTCCTGCCCCCTAGAACCGCCCCTGATCCCATGGATGGTTTCAGAAATATGAAGAACATTGCAATCTATCCCATTTGAGAACGAGACCAAATGACCAATTGTGAGACAAGAGTTCAGGGAATGAACTTTTTAACCAAGAAACCTTTTCCGAATCAAGCTTGATAGCAGCAGATATTCCCTATTTCATCTCAGATATGCATGAATTGCTACAAAAAAAACATGAACAGAAAGGATTTACTTCCTATTAAAATGTTAAACCCGTTGGACAAAAAAACAGAACTAGTAGACTCATTTTTTACTTGTGGCATGTGATTCTCCTAATGCAAATTCAACTTGTAAGCACCATCTTTTGTGTTAGGAGGGTGCAAGCGGCACTGATATTTGACCGGACGTTCCTTAGAGATGATGTCCCCGCAGCCACTGAAGGGTAAGTCTTCCAGCCGACGCAATTGGTCGTCCTCTTCGCCTCAAGTTTGTCTGACTCCGTCTTATGTAATCTCGTCAGCAGTGAGGGTCCCCGGATGCAACCTTGTCGGAGCAAAATCCTCTTTGTCGCTGGGTCTGGCATCGAGCTGCTAGAGTTGTCCGCCATTAGTCTGGTGCAAGCATCCTCGTCAGGTAACAATTGCTAGTCTCGCACGTAGTTCCTCCATCAGGAAAACCCCTTTTGTGAACGAGTAAATCTTGCTCTCTCACCTCTGCAGTTGTGGATCCCCTATGCACATGTGAATTCATTACCGTCTGTCACGGGTTAACAGGGAAGGGAAGGACCTGGACGACGCTTGCGTTGATTTCTGGATGTGGTTATCGCCTGAGATTTTTTGTTGAGATAGAAAATTAACTACACCCGAAATGGACGACGATGGTGTCAAAAGTGATGGAGGATGGTTGCTCCTTGTTCACTGTATCCTTACCTAAGGGTCACCAGAGCGTCAAACCCCAGCTCTTCTCCCTACTCTCTAATTATCTTCATATTCATACACACCAAACAACTACCACCTTTTCCTTTAAAGATCTTTTTAGTCATTAAAAGCTAGCAGTTACTAAAAAACTCATAAAAGTATCTTTTCAGTTAGTTTTGCCAAATATACCCAAAATTAAAAGTAAAAAAATGTACTCCCTCCGTAACATACATATCTTTCCACTTTACTTTTTCAACCATAACATTTATATCTTCGCATTTAAAAGGGGCTTCCCCCAATATTACTAAATTAAAACTTATTTCCAAAAAAGTGACCACATTTATTATTTGAACAAAAATGTGATAAAGATGCTTATTCTTGTCACTGCACCACTTTCATGTTACTGTCAGATGCCACTATGCCGCCATCGCCGCGTCACTGCCGACATGTCACTGCAGTCGTATCACCTCCGCCTCCATTGCCCGGGTCACCACTGCCGCCGCCACCGCCACAATGACATCTCCACCCCAAATTCTGGACATAGTGACACGAATACATTAACATCCACCGTTACCTCCGCCCGGTGACCGCCGGCGGCCACAGTGACGCTGCCACAGTGATGCCGCCCACCGGAAGATACTCCGGCTGCCGCCGCCCTCATCGGTGTAACTGTTAGAATGTTTTTCGGTGCCCCACCGCCGACAACACTACGGCTTCCACCGCCGCCCCGTCCTTAGCAGCCGCTGCTCCATCCTTCACCGCCGTCCCCATCCCATCCACAACCGCTATCCTGCCCCATCCCAGCCCACTGCCCTACCCCTAGCAGCATACTTTAGTCCCCAGCCCCCTCCCCTCCCCTAGCTCTACACACCGGATCGCTACCCAGCCCCCACTCCCCGCCCCTAGCCCTTCACATCAGATCCCACCCAGTCCCTGTCCCCAGCACCCTCCCCTGCCCCACCTCCTATCGGTCCCTCAAGTCTTTTCCAACTTCGAGTACGGTGGATTCGGCAGATCCAGGACCGGTATCGCCAAACCTGAGCCGTATTCTTGAGAGGTTAACACTGCTTTGTGTTAACCTCTCTGTTACTTTTGGAAATAGTTTCCCTATTCTTAAGAATAAATGAAGTTAATATTAGTATGCATTATGCACACATATGTGAGTTATATATGTAGGAAAAAAATATTTTCAAAAAGAATATGTAGAAAAAAAATTATTATCTGTCTCCGAATTGAGAGATCACCTCGTTCTCTTCTTGAAATTCAATTCTTGAGGCATTAAACCAACTGGAAACTGAAATCTCGTCTACAATAAAATATTTAAGAATCTCTAATTATTTTATTGCACATAGTGACGTCGATAAAAAAACTTGTATTCTATTTCATGAAACTAAATACCTTTCCACTCTCTAATTATTCCAAAGCATAAGCGAATCACAAAAGGAAATTCATTCCAAGATTTCTAATGTTTAGTGAGTCTGCTATCTACTTCTTCAGCAAATTTGTGCCATAAATAACATACAATCCGGGACCCCCTTTTAAGGGCCGAATGAAGAGTTAGATATGAGAGAATAAAGTATACATAGTTGAAAGCTAAATAGGATAGATATATAAAATTATAGATATTTAAAGGATACTTACTCTTCATCTGCAAGGGTTAATTTCAATCTATTTTTGTACCTCCGACCTTCATATTGACTTGATTCATCGTCGAGTAGGTGACCCCCCCATTATATTAACGGAATGATTTGGGTCACACTTTTTAAATACAATGTCATCGGATTTAGCGCATGGAAAATTAAAAGGCGATATGTTGAAATCATTATTTTCTTCAGCAATCGTTGACTTAGTGAATAGAAGTTTGAAGCTATGGTTGCACAAGCGGAAGCCAGATACATTGCGTCTAACATCCAATTGTTTGATGCTATAACAACATTTGGCGTAAAATGTCTTGCGGAATGAGGCATTGAAAAGATTGGGCGGTATACTGCATTGTATGTAGTACCCCTGAAAATATAAATTAAAAGTATGATGAACAAAACTGAGAATATTAATATGCTTTTGAATATTTCATTATGATTAATATTTCAATATTTCAATATACTTTTGAATATTTCAATATGATTAATATGGAGTATGGAACAATCAAAAGTTACACACATTGAATTTGCTAAACATTAAAAGTTAATTTTGAATATGATAAACATTTCATACCTAAAAGAATTGCCAATAAAAAAAGTAAATTATTAAAAATTCGAATACAATGGTACATGGTATAAATGGAATTGCCCCAACTAAAAAGGGTTTTTTTTGGGTCATATGTTTAATTTGTGTAGTTCAGTTTCGCTGGAGTCAATTTAATATCAACAATTACCCTTCTACTATTTTAGATTTGAATATTAGTATATTACTATTCAACTCTCATATAAATGATATCAAGGTTGTATACTCAATCTCAATTGTTAATGTCAATCATCAAATACATTATGAATTTTCAATAAGTTATATCTATCTCTACTACGTTATATGAATTATAAACCTCAATCATCAAATACATTATGAATTTTCAATAAGTTATACCTATCTCTACTACGTTATATGAATTATAAACCTGAAGTAATGTTCACTATTTAAGTTTTTTTTCATTATTTGATGAAAAATTACCATTTAAATTATCTGAATATTTAAGATGTTCAAAAGGAGTATCATAATACGTGTAATTACATTAAATACTATAAAAAACATCGTAAAAAACATCACATGAAATTGTCATTAATTTGAGATGTTCATATGGAGTATTATATTATTTGTTGATAAATTACCATTTAAATTATCTGAATATTTAATCTGAAGTAATAAATCTGAAGTAAACTTTTATTAGAGATATTTTTTTTCACAATAAATACGGTAACAGTATTCATAATTAAAAATAAGTTTAGAGAAATATTTCCTAGATCAACATCCTAAAAACATCACATGAAATAGTCAGTCAATTATACAGAGTATATTAATAGATAAAAGTACATTAAATTTCATCAAAACAACATCATAAATAGCATCTCAAATTGTCATTAATTTGAGATGTTTATACGCA